TTGTTAAAGGTGTTGAAAGGGAAGAAAATCCTTCCACAAATCTATTGTAATAACCAGCCAAACTGAGAAAACTATGAACTTCCATCGGTGTGTGGGTCTAGGCCAAGTCTTTACTGCCTCAATCGTTTGTGTATCCCCCCGGTTTCCTTCTCCCAAAATAACATGCCCAAGGAAAGCTACAGAGTTCAACCAGAATTCACATTTAGAAAATTTTGCATATAGCTTCTTTTCTTGTAGAACTCTGAGCACAGTGCGCCGATGATCTGCATGCTCAGCCTCTGAACGAGAATACACCAATATATCATCGATAAATACAATTACGAACAAATCTAAAAAGAGGCCTGAACACACGGTTCATCAAATCCATGAATACTGTTTGGGCATTGGTCAGACCGAACGACATAACCCAAAACTTAAAGTGCCCATATCTAGTCCTGAATGTTATCTTCGGAATATCTTCATCCTTAACCCTTACCTGATGGTACCCGAACCTCAAGTCTATCTTTGAAAAACACTTGGCACCTTGCAACTGATCAAATAAATCATCAATTCTCGGAAGCAGGTACTTATTCTTGATTGTTACCTTATTCAACTATCTATAATCAATACACATTCGTAAGGAACCATCTTTATTTCTCACAAACAACACAGGTGCTCCCTATGGTGACGTACTAGGTCTGATAAAGCCTTTTTCAAGCAAGTCCTTTAGTTGTTCTTTCAACACTTTCAGCTCTACGGGGGCCATTCTATAGAGAGGAATAGATATTGGGTGAGTATTTGGTAGTAGGTCAATAGCAAACTCAATTTCTCGCTTTGGCAGGAGACCCGAAAGCTCATCAGGAAAAACATCGGGAAACTCATTCACCATAGGGATATACTGAATGGTTAGTGACTCCACTTCCATATCCTGAACCCGAACTAAGTGATAAATACAGCCCTTATTGATCATCTTCCTTGCCTTGAGATAGGAAATGAATCTTCCTCTCGGCGATGTTGTATTACCTTTCCACTCCAAAACAGGCTCCCTTGGAAATTGAAATCGGACTATCTTTGCTATACAATCAACATTGGCATGACAAGAAGCCAACCAATCCATACTCATAATAACATCAAATTCTACCATATCTAACATTAGATCTTCTATGGTAGATTGACCACGAACTACTATTATACAACCCCTATATACCCACTTAGCTATCACTGAGTCCCCAACAGGTGTACACACCTCAAAAGGTTTAACCAAGTCAGGTGTTATTCCAAACTTACTAGCAACCAACAGACTAACGTATGATAAGGTGGAACATAGGTCAATCACTGCACATACATCATATGAGAAGACTGATAATATGCCTGTAACAACATCAGGCGATGACTCCTGATCATGTCGCCCTGCTAACGTATAGATGCGATTTTGAAGACCGCTGGAACTATTCATTCCACCTCTACCTCTACCACGACTTATTGGTGCTTGTGGACCTTGCCCATGGGGCGTACTGATGATGACGAACCAACTATAGATCCCGCTGGCTGAGCTATGCTTGCATCACCTCTCGTCGGACAATCTTTCATAATGTGGCCCGAATAACCACAAGTATAACAAACACCTAATCCCATACGGTACTGCGCGGTATGCTGCTTACCACATTGAGCACATCGTGGCAAGGGTGGCCTCATCTGATTTGACTCACCCGTATACTAAGAACCTGAGGCCCTGAAATTATGACCAGACCCTAAATATAAGGAATGATCAAATCTCTTACCGCCAAACTAAGGGGGCGCGCTAGGCAATGGTTGGGCTAGATACCTCGGGTACTGCTACCTCTGACTACCTCGAAACTTACCAGAAGGACCCGAAGACCTTTCTCTCTTATTTTAGTCCCTATCATGCTCACGATCGACCCTCTGTTTCTATTTACGCTCTTCTACACCCTGAGCGTATGCTTGAATACGAGAAATATCCATGTCTGGCTGAAGTGAGACCGACATACAATCGTTAAGCAAGTGAGGCTCTAATCCCATCACGAACCGGTGAACCCGATCCTCCATCTTAGATACAATAGTGGTAGCATACCTAGCCAATGAATCAAACTGAAGACTATACTCCCGAACACTCATGTTACCCTACCAAAGGGTCAAGAACCTATTAACTCTGGCCCGTATAAACTCTAGTGGTAGATAATGATGAAGAAAAGCCTCTGTAAATTCCTGCCATACTGTTGGAGGGGCATCCTAATTTCTGGATAATTCCCAAGACTTGTACCAATTAATTGCAATATCTCGGAGTCTATAGGAAGCTAACTCAACTGACTCAGTCGTAGTGGCCTTCATTACCCTTAATGTCCTCTGCATTCTATCAATAAATACTTGAGGGCCCTCGTTTGGATCTATTCCAGTAAATATCAGAGGGTCTAAATTAATAAAGTCACGAACCCTCGTACTCACGGACCTATCTGCATGACCAATACCTACTTCCTGAAGCCGAGCCTGTGAGGTAACTAATTGGGTCAATAACTGAATAGCATCTCTCATCTCCTGACCCGATGTATCTGGCTGAGGTGTTAAATGTACAGGGGCGCACGCTAGAGTTGGTTCCCCTAAGAGCTCTTCTGGAAAGGGCAAGATATGTGCAGTTTGAGATGGAACCTCACTATGAGACTCTCCCCGAGCCCTAATAACTCGTGGCACTCGACTAGTAGTCTCACTAGCCACAGACATTCCCTTCTGGGCGATTGTACTCTTTGGAGGCACCGATGAAAATATAACATATCGTTACGAACATGAATTCTTGTATCGTACGATCTGAGATAAAAAGAGAGGATAACATATTATATGTCTTGTAGCTTCCTATTTATAAGTGTGGTGCAAAACACACCCATAAACAAGACTCTGCTAGACACGGTCTGTAGACAACCCTAGGACAGAACTGCTCTGATACCATTTTTGTCACGATCCAAACCGATGGGCCATGACGGGTGCCTGAGTCTTACCTGTCAAACACCCCTAAGCATGCGTCTAAGATATGAACCTAAATTACATCTACTGAATTATGAAAATAACATACATGAAGGAAACCTGCCAATAAGGCATATGTACGTATATATGCAGAATACAGTGGGCGAGCCGGTAAGGATGCTATAGACAACTATACATCCAAAACTGAAAGCTGATAAGGCCACATACAACCCAACTAGACATACTGTCTACAGACCTCTAATAGAAACATAATTGTACAAAGATGGGACTGAACCACGTCATATCCATATATATGTATACAAACGTATCATACCAAAATCAAAAGTAGCTCCAGATCAAGTGGAGCACGCCAACTCTCGCTGATCATGGATCCTAAGAAGGGGGACTGTCAGCTTGCCTACATGCACCTGCGGGCATGGAACGCAAGCCCCGTGAAATAGGGCGTCAGTACAAAAATTGTGCTGAGTATGTAAGACATGAAAATTAGTACGTTAAAGACATAGATGAAACATGGAATAAAGAGACACATCCTTAAATCTGAATAACTTTGTAAATTCTGAAACAAATATAATGTCATGCACGTGCGTATGAATGTTGTGTCATGCACAGGTAAGGGTGTACATAATATCATCAAGCCACTGAGGGCATCCCATCATATCGTCTCGGCCATTGTGGATAACATCATCAACATATACCAGCTGATCAGGTGGTGGTATGTATATAATGCCATAACCTTTTCCCAAATCCCATATACATATATTTACATATATATGCATATATAACGCCATCTATTCATGGGTCAATGCACATGTATAAATGGGTGAAATGCATGAAAAATACGTAGAAATCTCAATATTCCTTTCGGATAAACTTTTTCAACTGCATATTATTTCGAGACCCATGAACAGAAAATAATAATAATTCACATGGGAAAATCAAGAATATAGACACCCCTAGTATTTCTATGAATAGAGTAATTTATGAAAACTGTGCATTTGCTCATTTCTTCAGTATAATTTGGACCATGACAAACGAAAGAAGGGATGGTCTTAACATACCTGGAGTAGGGAAAATCCATATAATATTCCATTGAAAACCTTCGTGGATTGAACTTAGAACCCAAAAATCAAATTAAGCTTCTGCGTTTTGAAATTGATGAATGAAATCAGCTTCTGTTCTTGGCGTTGAAGTGTTTGAACGTTGGAGCTTCTGTTCTTGACTTTGAAGTGTTCAAACAAAGAAAGGAAAAGTTTTTGCTTTAGGAGTTACTAGCGTTACTTTGCTCCTTATCCAAAATGAATTAGGACACACTTCTTTAGTTGTTTAATTCAATTGCATAGCCACCTAGGATATTTAATTACTTAGTCACTTTATGTGGTAAGCTAGTGTTGCCACATGTCTTTGATGTATAATTAATTAAGTTTTATCCACTTATTAGTTAACTGGATAATGTCTTGTTATCTGATAATTAATTAGTTACCCATATAATTTAAAAATTGCCACAAATTACTTAAAATTCTACTTATTTTTAATACACTTCATATTCATATTGTTAAAAGTGCGTTTTAAATGGTTTTATTGATGAGGACTTCTACGCTAAACAACCTCCTGGATTTGAAAACTAACAGTTTCCTTACCATGTGTTTAAGTTGGCTAAGGCTCTCTATATATTAAAACAAGCGCCTAGAGCATAGTATGAAAGACTAAGTTCATTTCTAGTTAGTCATGGTTTCTCAAGAGGTAAGATCAACACAACTCTCTTTATCAAAAGGTCATCATTAGGTAACCTTATTATTCAAATTTATTTTGACAATATTATCTTTGGAAGTGCTAACCCTGTCTTATGCAAGGAATTCTCACACTCATGCAAAGCGAGTTCGAAATGAACATGATGGGATAACTAAAGTTTTTCCTTGGAATTCATATTCAACAATCAGACAAAGGTATCTTCATACGTAAGACGAAGTACACGAAAGAACTGATATAAAAATTTTGAATGACCAAACGCAAAGGCGCTTGGAACTCTCATGACTCCAGCCACATCCCTTGACAAAGATGAGGAAGGAACGGTGGATGAATCAAAATATCGTGGAATGATCGGATTTCTACTTTATTTAACTGCTAGTCGACCTGACATAATGTTTAGTGTGTGTAGATGTGTCAGGTTCCAATTAGCTCCTAAAGAGTCTCACTTAACTGCAGTCAAACAAATTATCAGATATCTCATTGAGACTACATCACATGGATTATGGTATTCACGTCTTAACAACTTTAAGCTTGAAGGTTTTTTAGTTGTAGATCTTGCAAGAGATAAAGATAAAAGGAAAAGCAAAGTGAAACATGTCAATTATAACTCATCTCCTGCAATAGTAAGAAATAGGGATCAGTCGCATTATCTACAACTGAAGCTGAATACATTGCTAACAGATAATGTTGTGCTCAACTACTCTGGATAACTCACCAACTAAGTGATTATGATCTTTCCTTTAATCCTGTTCAACTTTTCTGTGATAATTCTAGTGTTATTTGCTTGTCAAAAAATCCAATGCATCATTTTAAGGCAAAGCATATAGATATCAAGCATCATTTTATTAGAGATCATGTTCATAAAGGGTGACATTGAATTATCATTTTTTAGTACTAATAATTAATTAGCTGATATTTTCAGTAAGCCTCTTTTAGAAGAAAGATTTCAAAACCTTAAGGACTTACTTGGCATTATTACTTTTTTCTAAATAGGCCTTCGAAATTTCTGTACTTTTCAAAGATTGTGTGTGATGGTGATTTTGGTAGAAAATCTTTTTGTACCGTCGTATTGAGGATCGATAACAAACGGAAAGAGTCTTCGAGGTGTGAGGATGCTCGCAGCGAGGCAAGTCTTTTTCTGAGGTTCAAAAGAGACGAGTTGCCGAGCTTCCTGCTTCGGAGGCCTCTACTCTTGAATAAAAACATTTCCAATGGCCGTCGAAGGTACTTTGAGGGACAAGGGTTATCCGGCGCCTCCCTCTTCTCCTACCGAAGGCACTTCGGGGGGAACTAAGCCATTAGACGTATGCTCGACCTTTGGTGAGGCTCAGCGGCTTAGCTTCATGGTAAGCTTTGGTAGCCTATATAGGCTTCTTTCAGTTTCGTGTCTTCCTTTTCTTATTGAGCTTTATTTTGTAGGCATTTGATAAGCTTAAGTCCGAGCTGCTTCACCGTGAGGCCAGGCTGTGGAAAGCTTTGGAAGGGGAGAAATCCCTCAGGCTTCTTTCCACAAAAAAAGAAGATAAGCTGGTATACCTGCGGTATGAGGCGGACCGAAGTCGGAACAATGAAAGCCATCTCGAAAGATAGGTAACCTTCATTTCGTGTTGATGTATTCTCCTCCTTCTACTTTTGGAGATTAATATATCGATATTCCAGTTGGGGAATAAAACAGAGGAGCTGGAATGACTTTGGGGTGAAGTTGGTCGGGTTAAGCGCGAGCATAACGAGCTAAAGGCTCAGGCAGATGCCCAAGTTGCGACCAAGGAGGATGCTTTGTCCAAGGCTTCCGCCCTCGAGGTGCAACTCCAGAATGCTCGTTCAAACAGTTTTGTCCGAGCGAATATAATTACAAGGCTCGAGTCTGAGCTTTTGAAGAAGAAGGCCAAAGTTGTGGATGCCCGGGTTGAAGCCGTGATGAGCTGCACTAAGGCTGACAAGAAAGTGGCGGTCTATTTGAAGGACGTTGCCGATGCTCGAGCTGAGCTGAGAAGGGATTTTAACCCCAAGAGCAGGAGCAAGGAATATGCTCAGTACAAATCTTGAAGGGAGACCCTCGAGGAGGTCCATGCTAGGGGCTTTGACCTCTCGAAAGAGGTAAAGCAGGCAAAGGCGGATGAAAATGATGTTAGGTCTCTTCTGTCCGATGCCGAGGATAGCGAGAAAGAGGTCGACGAGCCATAGTCCCCGAGGGGGACGTAGATTAGGCCTTCCCTTTTTGATCTGTGTATAGTATTTTCAAAGAAGATTATAAATGGAGCTTGTATTTCTTCGCATATATGTATAAAAGGAAGCCTTGCGGTTTCACTTTTCATACACTTCCCTTTGCTTCGATGTTTGTCAGTTATTAGCCAGGTGAACTGGTATTCGGATAGAACCCTTAGGTTTATAGTACGACCCTGGGGCTCGTTGGGCTGGCTCGTAGGCTCTTACGCGCTTGGTCGGTACGACCTTTTAGTATAAGCTAGCATTTTGAGCTCTTATGCTTTTGCTCTTAGGCATATTTAGTTAACTATTTCGGATTCAGTCTCCGAGTCAGGTTTTGACTCGAGCTCAGTTGACCCTCAAGTTTTTGAATTTAAGGCTGGCCCTAAAGCTCTTACGCATTCGGTCCGTACGACCTTTTATATGGGCTAGCGATAGTGGCTCTTATGCATTGGGTCGGTACGACCTTTTATATGGGCTGGCGATAGTGGATCTTATGCATTGGGTCGGTACGACCTCTAGTATGGGCTGGCGATAGTGGCTTTTATGCATTGGGTCAGTACGACCTCTAGTATGGGCTGGCGACAGTGGCTTTTATGCATTGGGTTGGTACGATCTCTAGTAGGATTTATTTTTCCCTCGTTAAGGACTTTTGAAATTGTGTTTGCCTGACTCTTCGACGGTTCGATGAAAACCTTGATTGTGAGTCATTATATGGCGATAATCGAGCACCTCTAGAGGTTTGGCTCGATGGCTGAGTATCTTGAAGCCTATAGTTTGGAGCTGACATGGTCGAAGCTCTTTTGCCTATGTCGAGGGTAGCCTGTTTAACCGGTTCTTTTCAAAGTATATTCAAAGTAATTCAAGGCTTGTGATTTTATAGCGACGGTCAGGCATCCCCGAGTCGCGTTAGTTTGGTTGGTACAACCTTGTGACCGTAGTCATTATGTTTGGCCGGAGCCTTTCGGTTCCCAAGTGAAGTAGTTTCGGCGTCTATATTAAGGCTATGCCTTTTTAAGGGTCTTACAAGTTCGATATATAGCCTTAATTTTAAGATCGGGATTATGCCTTTAGTAAGGTCTTACAAATTTTACATGCCTTTAAGGTCTTACAGTTTGTTTACTTGGTACAAGTATGGTTCATGTCCTGCTTGAGGTCTTACAGATATTGTTGTTGCTCACTTGGTACAAGTGTGGTTCATGACTTGCTTGAGGTCTTACAGATCTTGTTGTTGCCTTATATAGGTCTTACGAGACTAAAGTTGCCCGCATGTGGTCTTATGGTCTCGGGTTTTTATAAGTAGATAGGGGTAATGGTTGGCGGTAGTCCCCGAGTCATTGAAGGTTTCTTGGCTCAGGATCCATTACTTGTAAACTTGGTATTGCCTCATTAAGGGCTTACGATTTCGGAGTTTGCGATGCCAGTCCCCGAGTGTTCGGGACGTTTTTGGCTTCGAGGCCATTTTGTGATCTTGAAGTTTCCTCATCGAGGTCTTATGAGTTTTGAGTTTCTGACACGGAGGTCATGTGGCTTTGAATTGTTGACGCCAGTCCCCGAGCGTTCGGGATATTTTTGGCTCTGGAGATGTTTTTGCAAAAATAACAGACTCTTTTGAAACGTGAAATGCTTTGGTGGAAAGTATTCTTCGATTACTTGGTACAAGTATACATATTTTCGTTGTTAGGGGCTTGGTTATTCTATACAGACACAGTTCGTTCGACCATTTGGCCCGATACATTATTTTCCTATCGAGACCCCGTTCAGCACTTCTTGGCTTTTCTAAGGAGGTGATCTTCCTGGGGGATGCCCCCCAGTATTTGAGGTTGATTGAAAAGGAAGCCTTGAATACTTATTGAGTCTTCCTTAGGTAGCATATAGATGTTGCCTTGTTAAAAACCTTGCCGGTAAAACCCTTCTTGGGATAAAAATCTGGTTGAAGGAAAAGAGTGCAACGTATGCTTTTGGAACCTAAGGCCTTCGAGTTGGAAAGTGCTTCGGCCGTTTCGATTGGATACCTGCATTCAGGTTAGTATAAAATGTAACTGAAAAAAAGATATGACCATACCTTAGTGATGGCGGCACTTCGGACCTCGATATGATTCAATCGTTTGTTATGAGGACTCTGTACGGTACTTCATTTTGTTTAGTCAGGCGTAGCCAAGAATGTAGCTTGTTATCGCTATCTTACTGTTTGTTTATTCTTTGGCTCCTTTGATGGTAGAGGTATTAGCATTGGTGCCACATTATGCATCGTGAACATCTCTTTTGCTGCATGTTGCTCCCGTAGACAGTTTTATCCCATCCTTTGTCGAGAATTTCATTATTTGATGGAAGGTGGATGATACTGCTCTCATGCAGTGTATCCATGGCCTTCCGAGTAAGGCGTTGTATCTCATGTCTCTTTCGATAACATGGAATTTGACATTTTGGGTTGTGTCGGGCACGTTGACTGGGAGGGTGATTTCCCCTTTCATTGTTTCACTCGCCATGTTGAATCCGTTGAGGACTCAAGAGGCGGGCATGATTTGGTCAAGCAGCCCAAGCTACTCTACCACCCTCGACCTGATAATGTTGGTCGAGCTATTTGGATCTACAAGTACACATTTAATTTGAAACATATTGACAAGGAACGAGATTACCAGTGCATCGTTGTGAGGTTGAGACAAGGTCTCGATGTACTCATCGCTGAATGTGAGAGCGTCCTCGGGTATATAACCTCAAGTTAGCTTTTCTCTGGTGATGGATATTTTTGTTCTTCTGATCATGGGTTCTTGCGGAGCATCGATGCCTCCCAAGATCATGTGGATGACATGTTGGGGCTCATTTGTTTCATTTTTCTTGGTCGGCTCTCGTTCCTGGAACTGATTTTTGGCTCGGTCGCTGAGGAATTCTCGGAGATGACCTTTGCTGAGTAGTCGGGCTACCTCTTCCCGGAGTTGTCGGCAATCTTCGGTCTTATGACCATGCGTGTTGTGAAATTCATACACTAAGTTATGGTTCCTTTGTGAAGGGTTTGATTGTACAGGCCTTGGCCACCTGGTGTCTCTGATTTTACTTATGGCGAACACGATGTCTGATACGTCGATGTTGAAGTTGTATTCCGACAAGCGAGGTGCCTCCGTCGGACCTGTTTGCCTATCATACCTAGCTCTGCTGACAAGTCCCCGAGGGTTATAACCTCGATCCATTCTTTGGTCATTGCAAGGTATGTTGCGCCTTGGGGCATTTCTTCTATCTTTGGTGTATGGTTGGTATCTCTCTTTTTTCAGCTTTGACTCTTTTGACGGAAGCCTGTTAGGATATACCGAGCCCGAGGGGGCTCCTAGTTGGTCGTCTTTGACCTTGATCTTCGATTGATATCGGTTGTGAACATCCGACCAAGTCATGGGGGGTATTCAACCAGATTCTGTTTTAGCTGTTCGAAGCCACCGAGCTCCGTTCATTCAAACATTGAGTGAAGGCCTGCACCTCCCAGTCGTCGGAAACCGGTGGTAGTTCCATGCGT